GGGCGGGGCGGGGGTGCAATGGAGCTGCCTCCTGAGCCGGCACCGCCGACAGCTCCCTCCTCCTCACCAGCTGCTGGGAGCCGGCTCAGGTCTCTCCTACCTGGCAGCACTGGGGAATGGCTGGACGGGACAGGACAGCCCGGGCACAGTCCTTACTCGCTGATAGCATAGCTGCTCCTGGGGCATCCTTCCTAGTAATAGATGAAGGACACAGCACTGCATTTCCTCAAAAGAACTGATTTATATTTCATAGAGTTCTAGGGTCGGGAGGGACCTATTTGATCGCGGAGTCCAACCCCCTGCTCTGGGCAGGAAAGTGCCCTGGGGTTAAGAGAACACAAGCTGGGGTTAAAAGAACAAGCTTTAGGGCAGGGGCTTAAGCATACAGCCTAAAGCACTACTGGGACTTTAAGTTATTGCCCTACTTGTTTCCAGCTGGGCATGAGTGAAGGCGGACGTGTAGTACCGGCAAGTGGAATCCCACTGCACTGTCCGTGTCACCTCTGTCCTTCCAGGGTGTGGAGGCCATCGAGCCCATCGCCCACTCGACCATGTCTAGGTACTCAGAGCAGGAGTATGATCAGACACTCAGACCATCCCAGCGCTTTGATTTCTTTGCGGGACAGTCACCCATATGTCTGCTCTGCATTGAACCCATTCAATTGAACCTAACTAAAATTATGAAATTATTACAGGACAGGATGCTGGGACACGGGAAATGCTGCTTAGAATTTACAAAATTACAGTATTAAGCTAGAGAGAGTGATTTAAGCAAGGGTTAAAGTAGCATACAGGAGTTACATTGTTTTAATCACAACAATTTTAAAACTATTTAAGCTAGTGCAAGTTTTCTAATATAGATAAATCTTCACCTTAGAGGGGTATGCAGTTAAAAGTCCCCATCCCAGGTCAGCCAAGATGAGCAGAAAATGCCTAGTTTCCAAAAAGACAGAGGTGGATACTTCACTAATACAGTCCCCCTCCCCGCCTCTTCAGGTAGGCACTAGGTTCTTGTTTCAGAGCCTAGTTTCAACTGCAGGTCATCTTCCTTCTTTAATAGCTTTTCCTGAAACTAAATTACTTTCTACTCCCAAGACTGACAGCCAGTGGCTCTGCTCAACAGGTAGCAACATTTCTTCTTTTCATCATGCTACTACCTACTATGGTAGTACAGTGCACTCCATTTACATGCCTTCCCAATTTATTGCCTCTTGCTTATTACCTTTTAACAAGCACCCCTTATGGTTATAGCCATTAAGTGCATTAGCATCTTTGTAATGTAATCCTGTTCAAATTAACTACATAGAAAGTGAAAGGCAAGCAGCTTTCTCAAAGGGCTGTTACTAGAAGCCGCGACGTTAACTAGAGCTAGTTTGTTTCATGGCTGCCAAAACCAGGGCACTGTACACTTCATAGATATGGTTTACATTTTATTAACATAGGGGCATATTCTGGATAAGTGCAAAGCCTTTTTTTTGATTCCAGGGTACTTGCTTAAGCAGAAAACACCATAGCTACAATGCATCTCATTGGACCACACAATTCAAATCTGCAACTGCCAACTACTCTGAAAGGGGTGGGGGGAGAAGGGGGGACACGGACGAGAGAAAAAAATAGGACATCATAATGATCCAAATCATCCTTTCAGTCACACCTGTTCTACACACACAGGGTTAGTAACACAGAAAAGTTAGTAAGGGATGATAAGCTTTTTACTGAACACCATGCTACTAAGAGCAGGTGCTTATTCCAACCCCCCCCCCTACCAAATACCAAAGATAACTCTGGAGCTAAACTGTACTATTGTTGCAGGTTATAACCCCCATGAAGGTAGATATTGTGGTGAGATGTATTTTCCAAATCCCAAGACTAGCTTTAACAGTGGTTTGATGCATGGGCTTAAGGCAAATGTCACTCAGGTTTTATCTGTAAAATTGGACCAACCTCCAAAGTCCAAAGCCTGTATTTGAAGAGGGTTTTGTGGTGATCATAGGCCCATATTTTTATAATGTTGAAGAGGTAGAACCACCTGTGTTTAGGCACAATTTGCAACTGCATATGCAAATGATTTACAACTGTAAATCGCAGGAAACAGGAAATCCCTGTTCCCTGTGTGAAATCCCACGTCAGGCACAATGCCTCAGGCTAACCATATAAACCAACTACTACCTCCCTCCCTTAATACCAACTGGAATGGGATTCCCGCTTTCAGATTAGGATCTTCTCTCAGCCAGCCAGGGTCCACAAGTATGATCACTTAAGCAAGTGGAGCACCAGAAGTGGCGGAACGATCAGCCCCAAGCATACTTTGTCAGTGAGCCAGTAAGTAAAAAGTAAGATTGGCTTAAAAGTGTGTTTAGATGTTGGGCTCTTTTCCATCGTCTTCTGATTTCTGAGGTCACATGTTCAAGCTTTGCACTGATGAGTGCCAGAGTCACCTTAAAAAAAAAAAGGTGAGAATCTCCCATAAACATTCAGCTCCTGGAGATGGGGCTTTTAGGCAGACACCAAGTATCAGAAGACCTGAAAAAATTGCAGAAGTTAACAACACTGAAGTTGCAGCTTCCTTCAGTTTGATATAAGCTTTGTTCCCAGAATGCTTATTCCTCTTGGTTTTCCCACTCCAACCATGGTATCACTGTCTAAAATAGGCTAGGTTCAGGATTTTTTAATTATTTACATCACCAGCTGGTTCCAACTACAGTTTCTCTGTGGAACACAGTACTGTTAACAAAGAGTTCAATGAATTCAGGTCCTAAGGATTTAGTTGAATTACATATACATGCTGGCACTTACAAAGGGGCTTAGCCTGCATTGGCAAAGTTGCATAGTTGTGTCCTGACTGAACCATAACCTGCAGACATTTGGTACACACCCCACTTATTACGTGTATGTTAAAAACTCTGGTACTCAAACACCTGGTCATGGCCTTCATGCCCCCACGAGCAACTTTGAAAGCAGATTTAAGTAGCAGTTAACTAGCAGCACAATTTGGTCATAGACATGGAATAAGCGTGACATCTAGTGGCTACAGAGAGGTAGTGTCTAAATAGATTAGTGTGCGGACTTCCTCCCCTTCTCAAATCAGTAATCATTTACACCATATTAACATTGCTTTCCTTAGGGTTCCTAATGGATGTGGCACCATATTCTATGAAGAGGGAATCTTGCACTACACAAAGTACTGTACAACTATGGATGGTTCTCCAAACTGCATTCCACATCGTGAACAAGGGATGACAAAGTCGAAGGGCCACAAACTCCTCCATGACCGTTTCAGGCTGGACATAAGGAAGAACTTCTTTACTGTCCGAGCCCCCAAGGTTTGGAATAGATTGCCACCAGAGGTGGTTCAAGCACCTACTCTGGACGCCTTCAAAAGACATCTGGATGTTTATCTTGCTGGGATCCTATGATCCCTGCTGACTTCCTGCCCCTGCGGCGGGGAGCTGGACTCAATGATCTTCTGAGGTCCCTTCCAGCCCTAATGTCTATGAAATCTATGAAAATCCAAATCCTTATCCCTGAGTATGGGACTAACAGAGAAAGGAATAAATGTTCCTTCTCCCCCAAGCAAGTATTGATCCTATCCCTGGGATGCAACACCTACTGTACAAACTGGAGATGTGCAATGCTTTGATGAGCTGGTACTGGCAAATCTACTGAAAGAGTCCAAGGAATGAGGAAAAAAAAATTGGCAAATAAAATTAGATTCCACATCTTATAGTCTAGCTACTCCAGCAACAGACAGCCACTCACAAGGAAAAGGAGTCACTGCAAATTTAAATACATCTGGCAGACCCTTAGCTACTTAAGTGCAGGGAAATTCAAGGGACAGTGGACTCCAAACACATACTGACCAAGGAAGCCAGTTGCCTCTTTGGGGCTCCTGACAGAAGAAATGCAAGTTTAGTTTGACAACACTGATAGAGGTGCAAAACTAAGCAGGGAAATATTTTCCACAAATTCTCATCTCATCTCTCCCACTAGGCATGGGAGAACCATAAGTACGTAGCCAAGAGCCAGTAAGGACACTACCAAGTGATATCACAGAACTCACTTCCTGCCTGCAAATCATTATTAGAAATAGCTGATACCATATTCCCTAGCTAAACATGCCACTCAGGGCAGTACTTCAGAACTGTAGCTACACTTTCTCCCTTCTGCAAGAAAGACGTATAGGAGACCACTGACTCCAACACTGCCCCTGGGGCAAGACACTACTCATAGGGCACATTTGTGAGACACTTAATGCCCACCGAACTAATTCTACGGCACATGAGTGTGGCTGGCAAGAAGTGTGCTAATGCAGAGATTAGTCCAATGGGCATTAAACATCACACAAAAAGCATTCATCTGCACTAATGTGCAGTAGAACCAGTTACAGCACATTTAGTACTTGTTATTACAGGTACTAAAAATGTTCCATAACTACAGTGCATTAATAAACACATAGATGCACGCATAGTTTAGTAAAAGGGAGGAAAAGATTACAGACAATGGAAAGGCTCAAGCTGTCCCCTGCTCTGCAACTCACTCACATGCAAGTGGAAGCCTGAACATCTGTTACATCTCAATTCATATTAAGAACTCAACAGTAGGAAGCAGGAAAAATAGAGGTGTTTAAAG